GGAGGATTTTTAAACTGGGTTTTTTAGAAATTTTAATTATCACAACACAAAAATTTTGGTTTTAATTTGGTTTTATTCGGTGGGGTGTGTGGGTCTTTCTTTGTTTTAATAATGTTGTGAGCCGCCCTGAGTCCTTCGGGAGAAGGGCGGGATATAAATTGAAATAATAAATAAATAAATAAATAAATAAATAAATAAACTAGACATACCCAATTCCAGCATCCTTTCCTTGTATGTTTTAGCCTCCAGTCCCCTAATCATCTTTGTTGCTCTTCTCTGTACTCTTTCTAGAGTCTCAGCATCTTTTTTACATCGCAGTGACCAAAACTGGATGCCGTATTCCAAGTGTGGCCTTACCAAGGCCTTGTAAAGTGGTATTAACCCTTCGCGTGATCTTGATTCTATCCCTCTGTTAATGCAGCCCAGCACTGTGTTGGCCTTTTTGGCAGCTGCAGCACACGGCTGGCTCATATCTAAGGGATTGTCCACTAGGACTCCGAGATCCCTCTCACAGTTACTACTATTGAGCAAGGTACCCCCTAGGCCTATACTATACCTGTGCATTTGGTTCTTCTTGCCTAAATGTAGAACCTTTACTTTTTTCACCCTTGAATTTCATTTTGTTAGATAGCGCCCAGTGTTCAAGTCGCACCGTATTTATGCGATGCCTTCCTGTTGGCTGATTGTTGTGTTGATGGCTGGCTTTTCTTTCCTTGTTGCCTCCAAGCCCTCAGCTCCCAAATACCTGATAAGCTGGTGATAAATCAGCACTCTTGACTGACAAGGGGCCCTTTTCCCAGGCTTCCATCATTTCACTGGCTATTTTGGTCCCTGCTCAGCCGACAATCTTAGTAGCTGTGAAGTTGAATTATGCCCTTGTTCATTGCAATGTGAGGCTACCGATGAGCTCGGGTCTGCTCGTCTGACCGCTTTGCTTGTGTTCTTGCCGTCTGGTGGTTAGCGTCTTCCCCGTCTGTCCTACATAGTCACAGGGACAGTCCATGCAGGGGACCCGGTAGATTACATCGGAAGTATCTCCTGCCTCCAAGTGATCTTTACAATGCATGATTTGTCCTCGTGTGGTAGCCTCTGGGCGTTGCGATGCAAAATATATTTGCCTTCATTCATGAAAAACGCGACAGCCGAACTTCCTCATAAAGCTAAAATAAAATAACAACCCACCCCTAGCAGCTGACCTAAATGGATTTCATTCCTCAAAGTCAGCTGAAACGAATCCAGAGGTTTTCAAGAAAAGATTGGAGAACCGTACTTATCCAGGATGGTAGAGGGTCTCCTGCTTGAGCAGGGGTTGGACTAGAAGATCTCCTAGGTTCCTTCCAGTCCTAGGAGTCTATGATTTAGATACTGTAAGATACATATGAGAGAGAGAGAAAAGATAATTTTCCAGAAGGAACAGATTGGATGGATGGATGGAGATGATGGTAGGTAGAGATAGGTAGGTAGGTAGGTAGGTAGGTAGGGAGAGAGAGAGAGAGAGAGAGAGAGAGATGGATAGATAGATAGATTGGTAGATAGATAAATGGATAGATGGATGGATGGATGGTAGGTAGAGATGGATGGATGGTTGGATAAATCAATAGATCAGTGGATGGATGGATGGAGATGGTAGGTAGAGATAGATGATAGATAAGATAGATTGGATGGATGGGTGGATGGATGGATGGAGATGGTAGGTAGAGATAGATAGATAGATAGATAGATAGATAGATAGATAGATAGATAGATAGATAGATAGATAGATAGATAGATAGATAGGGATGGATGGATGGATGGATGGATGGATGGATGGATGGATGGATGATAGAGACAGACAGACAGATCAGATCAGCCTGCCTCCCAAGAGTTGTGAGTGCTCCATCACTGGAGGCTTTAAAGAAAAGACTGGACAGCCATTTATCTGGAATGGAACAGGCTCTCTGCCTTGAGCAGAGGGCTGGACTAGAAGATCTCCAAGGTCCTTCCCAACTCTGTTATTCTGTCTCTATAAGCCAAGAGGGAAGGGGCCTGGTGAAGCTCTGGGGGGAGGGGCAAGGTTCCCATCCCGTTGGGACCTCCGGAGAGAAGGATTGACCCGGGGCCACCCTCTTCCTTGCTTCCTCAAGGACAGGGCCCCAGGGGAGCATCTTCTCTCTGAAAGCCCCCCACCGGTGAGCTGAATTGCTTCGAAAGTCATCACCAACCTCTTGAATTGGGCCCAGAAGCAACTGAGCACGTCACAGCTGCTTGATCTTTTAACGTGGGTCGGTCCCGCCCTTCTTGCGAGGCCGAAAGGGAAACGAAGAGCCCTGGGGGAGGGGTCTGTCTGAGCCCCCGGAGAAAGGGGGCTGAGGTCCGGAGGCAGGAGGAGAACTCTGCGTCCTGCCGGACCTGACGTTGAAGCCTTCAATCCTGGAGCGGAAGGAACATCCAAAGAGGCCCGGGGGCCTGAGTGGGCTCGGAAAGAAGGGACGCTTCCCTCTCTGAGATGGTGTGAGTTGTGCCTCCCCCCTCCGCAGGCGCGTGAAGAGGAGCTCCGTTCGGAGATGAAGCAGCTGAAGGAGAAGACGGCGGACCTCCAGGCCCAGCTGGTGCAGAAGGAACAGGCCGCCGAGCATTACAAGGCTCAGGTAGGACCCCGGGCGTCTGCCGCCATCTCCCCCACCCCATGCCAGGGGGAAGGGAGGGCTTGCAGGAGGGACCCCCTTGATGAAAGCTCAAGGGGGTCGGGTCCGCTGACAACTCACACTTGCAGTTCACTGTCACCCGGTGCCAGCCTGCCATCGGCTCGGTGTGAGGAGGGAGGATTCAAGGGAAACTAAAAGTTCACTGCATCTGCCCTGAGATGCTGCTTCAAGGTCAACCGGCTGGGATCGTTGATTGTTCGAAAAGCAGCTAAGGGAAGGAAAAGTTAGACAGTTCCAGCTTTGCATTCCTGTAATTCACTTGAGGTGTAGTAAACCATGGCTTTTCAACCAGTGGTACGGGTTCCACCTGTGGTACTTTGGCACCTGGCATGCAACCATCCTAGAAAAGTGGTAGCGGGGGAGGGGAATGGGCTGAACCGGGGGCAGCACCGCACAAGCCTGAGCGAGAGACGGCTGGAGCTGCAGGGCTGTCAGGGCTCAGTGGAAGCGCCAGGATCAGCGCCAGGATCCAGCTGGAGCTCGGTGCTGATCCTGGTGCTTCTGCTGAGCCCAGAAGAAGCGCCGATCAGCTGGAATGTTGCAGCCTCTCCAGGGTCTTGTGATTTACCTTCAGATGCTTGGCAACTGATTCATATTTATGACGGTCCCAGTGTCCCAGGGTCATGTGAAGGGACCAAAACCTGCTGCAACCACCCAGCAGACGGGGGGGGAATAAAAACCAAACACCCCCCCACCCCACCCCCACTGCCAATCCCCAACAGAAATGCTCACAACTATGGAAACCTCGGACAGGAGGAAGAGCGCAGCCGGGCGGGCAGGCAGGTGTCTTGCTCGGCTGTGGCTTGGGGGGCACTTTTTTCAGTGCCATTGTAACTTCGAACAGTCACTAAGCGAACTGTTGTAAGTCGAGGACTACCTGTACTTCATCAGTTTTTTCCTTTTTGGAGGGGGGGGTCATCAAGTTTTGGACACCTTGCTAGGCGACTGGTGGTACTCGGATGTTGCCATATCCTAAAAGTGGCACAGTGGGTGAAAAGGTTGAAAAGCCCTGAGATATAGGGCTGACTAACAACTAGACTACATTTCCCAGAGGCCACCTCTTAAGGAGGCAGCGTTTAACCCTTTCAATGCTAAATGCTCTAACACAGTTCTCAATTCCTAAGCTAGCTATATAATGGACCAGATCTACAATGGGTGAAAAGGTTGAAAAGCCCTGTAGTAAACTATACCTTTCTTGGCGCCCGGAGCTGAGGGTCGTGGCTCCTACTGAGAGGGTCAAGCCGAGGCCGGGCTGAGCGTTGCCCCTTTTCTGTGCCCGCAGATGGAGAAGGCGAAGATGCACTACGACGCCAAGAAGCAGCAGAACCAGGAGCTGCTGGAGAAGCTGAAGGGCCTGCAGCACCTGGAGAAGGAGAACGCCGAGCTGAAGGCCGAATCGGAGCGCCTGGCCAAGGAGTTGCAGCGCACGGCCCTGCAGGCCACCGAGTCGGAGCTTAGCCTGAAGACCCTCACCAGCCAGGTCCGGGTCCTGCAGGCGCAGGTAGGCACGACGGCCAGCCGGGCGGGTCTGCTTGGGGGGCGAAAGACCAGCGATACATCGTTTTAATAATAATAATGATGATGATAAAGTTGGAAGGGACCTTGGAGGTCATCTAGTCCAACCCCCTGCTTAGGCAGGAAACCCTACACCATTTCGGACAAATGGCTGTCCAGTCTCTTCTTAAAAACTTCCAGTGTTGGAGCATTCACCGCTTCTGGAGGCAGGTGGTTCCACTGGTTAATTGTTCTAACTGTCAGGATTCCTTAGTTCCAGGTTGCTTCTCTCCTTGATTAGAAATACAGAATAGAATAGAAGAGAAGAGAAGAGTTGGAAGGGACCTTGGAGGTCATCTAGTCCAACCCCCTGCTCAGGCAGGAAACCCTATACCATTTCAGACAAATGGCTGTCCAGTCTCTTCTTAAAAACTTCCCGTGTTGGAGCATTCACCGCTTCTGGAGGCAGGTTGTTCCACTGGTTAATTGTTCTCACTGTCAGGAAGTTTCTCCTTANAGAAGAGAAGAGAAGAGTTGGAAGGGACCTTGGAGGTCATCTAGTCCAACCCCCTGCTCAGGCAGGAAACCCTATACCATTTCAGACAAATGGCTGTCCAGTCTCTTCTTAAAAACTTCCCGTGTTGGAGCATTCACCGCTTCTGGAGGCAGGTTGTTCCACTGGTTAATTGTTCTCACTGTCAGGAAGTTTCTCCTTAGTTCTAGATTGCTTCTCTCCTTGGTTAGTTTCCACCCGTTGCTTCTTATCCTGCCTTCAGGGGCTTTGGAGAACAGCTTGACTCCCTCTTCTTTGGGGCAGCCCCTGAGATACTGGAAGACTGCTGTCCTGTCCCCCCTCATCCTTCTCTTTGTTAAACTAGACATCCCCAATTCCAGCAGCCTTTCCTTATATGTTTTAGCCTCCAGTCCCCTGATCATCTTTGTTGCTCTTCTCTGCACTCTTTCTAGAGTCTCAACATCTTTTTTACATCGTGGTGACCAAAACTGGATGCAGGATTCCAAGTGTGGCCTTACCAAGGCATTGTAAAGTGGTATTAACTCTTCCCGTGATCTTCATTCTATCCCTCTGTTAAGATCACGTGAAGTATTAATACCACTTTACAAGGCCTTGGTTTTATTTTTTAAAACTTTTTTTTCAAATGATGGTTCCACTTAAATTTCAGACTTTGCGTCCAAGGGCAGGTAGTCCCACAGTGGATCCCAAAATTTCCATTGCCAAGCGAGACAGTTGTTGTAAAACTGTTGCTGCGTGTATCGTCCACTGTTGCAAAACTGCTAATGTCTCATATTTGGTCAAAGAACGTCAAAGTTCATTGGGATAAATGGATCAAAAGATGGTGAATGGGTGAAATGAGAGCCACGGAGAGGAATGCCATTGTAAATATTCATTTTCTTTTTAAAAAACACATCCAGTAACATCTTGCTTTCTTACACCCAAGAGTAAGCATTCATGCATTTCCAGAAAAGGAGAGAAAGAAGAATCACTAAAAGAGAGAAAATAAAGGATAACAGAAAAAAAAAAAGAAAAAAGCTCTTAAATATTCGAACGGACGTATGAAGATTAAAAACTTAGAAATAATGAATTACTACAGCTGGCATAGTATTTATTTATTTATTTATTGAATTTATATCCCGCCCTATCTCCCTTACGGGACTCGGGGCGGTGAACAGGCAATAATAAAAACCACAATAAATATACACAAATTTCTGTTCTAAAATCAAATTAAATAACAGGCCTGCTCTAAAAGTACCCCATACAAAACCCCCACTAAAACATAATCAAACTACGCCAGGCCGGCTGCACGGAATAGATGAGCCTTCAGGGCTCGGCGAAAAAGGCGAGCTGCCCCGTTTTACGACCTTTCTTGGCACGGTCGTTAAGGGAGTCGCTGCAGTTTTAAAGTTACTCAGACGGTTGTTAAGTGAATCCGGCTCCCCCATTGACTTTCCTGGTCAGAAGGATGCAAAAGGGGGGGGGGGTCATGTGACACCACAACCGTCATAAGTGTGAATCTGTTTCCAAATGTCCGAATTGTGATCCTGTGACTGGGGGGGGGGGAATGGTGCAAAGATCCAGTTGCCGGTCACTTTTTCCAGTGCGGTTGCAACTTCAAGTGGTCACTAAACGAACGGTGCTGCGTTGAGGACAACCTTCGGCAGGAGTTCTGCATTGAGATGTGCCCCATGGGCTCTGTGGTGGGTCTGCCAAGCCTCTCCTTCCCTCTCTGGGGCTTCTGCTTCTAATTCTACCCATACTCCCCCCCCCCCTCTAGCTGGACTTCTCGGACCGGCAGCTTCGGGAGCAGGGCAAGGTCCAGGCGGCCCTGGAGAGCCTGAAGGGCCGGGAGTCCTTCAAGCAGAGCTCGGCCAACATCAGCAGCGACAGCCTGGACCTGAGCACCAGCGATGAAGGGCAGCCCCTAAACTCCACCAGGTAACGGCCGCATCCTGGCCTCCTCCTCCTCCTCCTCCTCCTCCTCC